TATGCCCTCCACAGAACCGGTTTGGGCCACCTCTCAATCTCATTGCTTCATCAGCTAGTAATTTAAGGCTTACATTATTGATCATAAGAAAAACCAAACATGATGATAGCTTAGGAAAATTGTAAGAAGTACAACCTTCATGACCGATCTTCTATAGAAACCACTTGTTGCCATTAAATGATAAGAAATCATGGGAAAAGATAAATAGAGTAATCGAAGCATGAAGAATAGTCAAGTATTAAGGACGTAATGTAATAAAAAAACAAAGTGAATGTTTCCTTTGGATTATATATACTCAAAAGCACCTTAACTCTAAAGTCCCCAGGTCAAGCTTACCAATTTCATTAGTTTTAACCACTAATCACCAATCTACAGCACCACTCAAGCATGGACAAAACCAACACAATTTCAAAATTTATCCAAACCTGGATCATCAAAACTTAAAGTCACGACTACAGTAACCAATCAAGTATGCTAAGAGGAAAAGAAAAGTTATTTACGAAGCTCCTTATATCTAGTCCAGTCACTTTTCTCCCACCACTTCCAAGAAAGATCAAGAAACCCAATTAAAAGCAATCCCCACCTAGAATGATACTTACTCTCATTGTACAATGGATTGTAAATATGATTATAAACAATTGGAAGAACACAAATCCAACTAATGCAGCATACTCTAGGTGAGCAATCACCCGAAGCATACTTTGCATTTGCAAGTCAAGCCAGCAGCTAGAACTCAAATTTCCAGATGAAGGAGTTGAGCTGCTACGAATGCCCCACCAAAGCTTTCATAACAACAAAATTTTCAGACCCTGTTCGCACAACCCGTGTTAGGAAAAATAGTCTATCATGAACCTAGAATCACAACCACAAAGAACTCATCTTAAGCCTACATGGTTTCGAAAATAGATTTATTACTGATTTCGGCGGTGAAGACGGAGAACAGAGAGTTCGATTACCTAACTAAGCTTAACCCTACATGGAGCCGAAAATAGATTTCTACCTGATTTCGGGGGTGAAGACGGAGGACAGAGAGTTCGATGCATATCAATGAATCGACACCAGGCAGTGCGATTGTCTGATCTCCATTACAGAGCGCGATTGGGAGAGGCTGTGAGAGAGTGCTGCTCGAATACTGTATGATTTCGGCTAGACTTGGCAATCGGGTCGGGTTGGGTAATTTCGGGTTGGAAATCTCGGGTTACGGATCTTCACGGGTCGGGTCATGTTGGGTTTGCTGATTCTGGGTCAAATATTGACCCAACCCATCGGGTTTCGGGTCGGGTTTCGTATCATTTCAGGTTATGAGCGTTCTCAGAAACAATATCAAATATGCTTCATAAATTTTTAAAGAACACAATTTTTAACATATGGGTGACAATAGTTTGCCTAGCACATGTTAATTAACAAATGCCCAACTCCTTCCATGCTAACGAAAAGAAATAAAAATTGCACAAATCGTGAAAAAACAATGACGAAAATAATACTAATAAAATAAACAAATGATGTTTGATTATCTTTACACTTCCAACTTGTCTTTCAAATCCATATGAATTTTTTTTAACATCTCACCAAAGTATGAGATATTTTATCATTTTGAGAGTGACATATACAATGAAACGGGTCTAGCGGGTCGACTCAAAAACCAACCCAACCGACCCAAAAACTACGGGTTAATCGGTTTCGGGTCATTCCGGTTTCGGGTTAAAAAAACCCTCAACCCATTCTCTATTTTTTGGGCGGGTTCGGGTTGGGTCAACGGGTCGGGTTCTCATTTGCCAGGTCTAATTTCGGCGGTGAAGACAATGACCGAGAGTTCGATTACCTTCAAAACTACAGTTCAATGAATCGACACCATGCTGTGAGAGAGCGCTGCTCGCCACTCGGATGCTGGCTGATTTCGGCGGTGAAGACGCTGGACGGAGAGAGCTCGGATGCTGGTTGATTTCGGCGGTGAAGACGCTTGATGGAGAGAGCGCTGCTCGGATTGACAAAAAAAATCAGCAGGCCTGTTGAACGTCACAATAGGAGCCGAGGCAATTTTTGCGTTTCCGAAACTACCCTTCCGAGAAACGCTATGGAGGTAGGGATTTTGAATTGGAGCTCGTGTTTTTTCCTTCAGCGTATTATATTATGTGTAGATTCAATGGTGGCCTAAACTTTTGTTGCACTCATGTGGTGAGTTTTTCAACCATTACTCCGCCAGATCGGCAGAGCTTTGATAAGTTAACAAAAAAAAAACCTGATACGCTGCGCACCAACAAACAATTCCCATTTCCTTCCATTAAAAAGAAAAAATATTTAAAAAATAAAAATGTGACATCAAATATTTAGTTAGGCTATAGGCATAGAGTCCGGATCTGGTGACTAAGGGGGGTCCTTAGTCACTTGACTAAGGCCCCCTCAGCCCTTGGATTGATCTAATGGTCCAGATAAAATGTTAAATTATTATTAAATGAAAAGGGTAGTTTTGGCATTATAAAAAATTCATTAATTTCTAATTTCAGTTTTGTTTTATTTATTTCTTTTTTTCCTTCCTCTCCAACCGTCTCCTCTTTTCCCGTCCAGAGAGAGAGAGAGAGAGATGGAGGAGAGATGCTCGATTCAACGGCGACGGTGGTGGAGGAGAGAGAAACACCCAGCGGCGGGTCTGTCGGAGAACGGCAGCGGCGGCAATGATGGATCAGAGAGAGGCGGCGACCTCGATTGAAAGATAGAGAGAGAGAGAGGCAGCAATGGCCGTTGTCGCAGAGGAGAGAGAGAGAGATCGTGGCGGAGGAGAGAGAGGCGATGGCGGAGAGAGAGAGAGGCGATGGCGGAGAGAGCTTCGACGATGATGGAGGAGAGAGAAGCGACGCGGTGATGGAGAGAGAGAGTCGGCGGCGGCGGCGACGGCAGCGGCAGCGGCGGCGGCGTGGAGAGACATCGTATCGTCATCTGAAGGAAGAACAATGATTTGTATAGTTTGTATGTTTTGTAACATTAGTTTGTATTGTTAGTATTTTTGTACAAAATGTCAGTATGGTTTGTATGTTTTTCTTTGACAGTTTGTATTCTTAGTATGTTTTTCTTTGACAGTTTGTATTCTTAGTATGTTTTTCTTTGACAGTTTGTAATAACAAACATTACAAACAATACAAAAGAAACCAACAAACATTACAAACATTACAAAATAACAAACATTACAAACATTGCAAACAAACATTACAAACATTACAAACAAACATTACAAACATTACAAACATTACAAAAATAACAAACATTACAAACATTGCAAACAAACATTACAAACATTACAAACAAACATTACAAACAGTACAAAGCATACTACACGTACAGAATATCACTACTTAGAATACAGATTGGTAAACTTGTATTACAAACAAATGAATACAAAGTATACAAATCATAACATAAAAGTATACAAACTTGAATAACAAAAGTTACAAATTACAATATATACAAAATAGTCATACAAACATTACAAACAATACAAACATTACAAACATGGTTGACAAAAATAACAAATATTACAAACAATACAAAAGAAACCAACAAACATTACAAACATTACAAACATGGTTGACAAAAATAACAAACATTACAAACAATACAAAAGAAACCAACAAACATTACAAACATTACAAACATGGTTGACAAAAATAACAAACATTACAAACAATACAAAAGAAACCAACAAACATTACAAACATTACAAAAGAAACCGACAAACAGTACAAAGCATACTACACGTACAAAATATAACTACTTACAATACAGATTGGTAAACTTGTATTACAAACAAATGAATACAAAGTATACAAATCATAACATAAAAGTATACAAACTTGAGCAACAAAAGTTACAAATTACAATATATACAAAATAGTCTTACAAAGATTACAAACAATACAAAAGTGTACAAACATTACAAAATAACCCGACAAACAGTACAAAGCATACTAAACGTACAAAATATCACAAAAAATGACAAACAATACAAAACATACTAACAGTACAAATCATAACATAAAGTATACAAACTGGAATGATAAAATTACGAAATCGTCGCCGCCAACAAATTGGCGATGTCGGTGTCTCTCTCCTCCTCAACCGCCGCTGCCTCTCTCTCCTCCACGGTCGTCGTCCCTCTCGTCGTTGTTCCTCGCCGCCGCCGCCGTTCCTCGCCGCCGCCGTTGTTGTTACTCGCCGCCACCGCCGTCTCTCTCTCTTCTCCTCTACCGCCGCCGCTCTCTCTCCTCTACGGTCGCCATCGCCTCTCTCTCTCTTCTCCTCTACCTCCGCCTCTCTCTCTCTCTCTCCCCCGAACACAGAACGCCGTCGTCCTTCGCCGTCGTCGTCCCTGGCCGCCGTCGTCCTTCGCCGTCGTCGTCCCTGGCCGCCGTCGTCGTCCCTGGCCGCCGTCGTCGTCCCTGGCCGCCGTCGTCGTCCATGGCCGCCGCCGTCTCTGTGGATTCATCTCCGCGTGCGACAAACAGGTGAGGGAAACACTCTTTTTTTTTTTTTTTAATTACAAAATTAAAATGTACAATTACTATGTTGTCCTTCCTTAAAATGAATTAATTGTAGCCTTAGGATTTTAATGAGCATGGAAGGTTCAGATTGACTTAGCCAAGTGACTAAGGGTACCCCTTAGTCACCTGATCCTAGCCCATAGGCATATACGCTTGGCAGTAAAAGCATCAAGTTTAATTGTTTTCTCCTTTTCTTCTCCTCCCATTAATTAATTAATATTAATAACAACAAAAATTATTATTTCATTATTGTTTTTAGTTCCTACGCTTTCCCCTGAGCACCACTCATCTCAAGCCCTGCGCTACCAACAAAAGCAACGCAACACCCTCTCTCTCTATTTCCCATTCATTCATCTTCCCCAAAACCCAAATTCAATCCCCAAATAGGAAAAGGAACAGACAGAAACAATCATAGAATCAGATAGCCGTCCGTAATCACAACCCCTGGCCGCCGATCAAAACCCATCCATGGCGGCGAAAGTCTCGAATTCCCCGACTTCCAACAGCGGAGGCGGGAGCAGCAGCAGCAGCAGCAACCAAGGCCTGCTTCTAGGTCGGTACGAGATCGGGAAGCTGCTCGGCCATGGCACCTTCGCCAAAGTCTACCACGCCCGCAACGTCAAGACCAACGAGAACGTCGCGATAAAAGTAATCGACAAGGAGAAGATCATGAAGGGCGGCCTAATCGCCCACATCAAGCGCGAGATCTCCAACCTCCGCCGCGTCCGCCACCCGAACATCGTCCACCTCTTCGAAGTAATGGCCACAAAAGCCAAGATCTACTTCGTCATGGAGTACGTCCGCGGCGGCGAGCTCTTCAACAAGGTCGCCAAGGGACGGCTCAAGGAGGACGCCGCCCGCCGCTACTTCCAGCAATTGATCTCCGCCGTCGCCTTCTGCCACGCCCGCGGCGTCTTCCACCGCGACCTCAAGCCGGAGAACCTCCTCCTCGACGAGAACGGCAGCCTGAAGGTCTCCGATTTCGGCCTCAGCGCCGTCGCCGACCAGATCCGGCAGGACGGCCTCTTCCACACGTTCTGCGGCACCCCTGCCTACGTGGCGCCGGAGGTCCTCGCGAGGAGAGGGTACGACGCCGCCAAGGTCGACATCTGGTCCTGCGGCGTAATCTTGTTTGTATTGATGGCCGGATACCTTCCATTCCACGACCAGAACATTATGCTGATGTACAAGAAGATCTACAAGGGCGAATTCCGGTGCCCTAAGTGGTTCTCCCCTGAGCTCTCCAAGCTGCTGACGAAGCTCCTCGACACGAACCCTGCCACGAGAATCACAATTCAAGAGGTAATGGAGAATCGATGGTTCAAAAGAGGGTTTAAGCACATCAAATTTTACATAGAAGACGATAGGGTTTGCAATGTGGATGAATTGATGAATCAGGATCAGAACCAGAACCAGGACGATGCAGGTTCCTGCTCGGATGCCTCAATGTCTGAATCGGATTCCGAATTCGAATCACGACGAAGAGTGACGTCCCTACCGAGACCGGCGAGTTTGAACGCCTTCGACATCATATCGTTTTCGCCAGGGTTCGATTTGTCCGGGTTGTTCGAGGAAGGAGGGGAAGGTGCGAGGTTCGTGTCCGGGGCGCCTGTATCGAAGATCATATCGAAGTTGGAGGAGATTGCGCAGCTGGTGAGCTTCACGGTGAGGAAGAAGGATTACAGAGTGAGCTTGGAAGGGTCGAGGGAAGGAGTGAAAGGGCCGTTGACGATCGCGGCTGAGATATTCGAGTTAACCCCCAAGTTGGTGGTGGTTGAAGTGAAGAAGAAGGGTGGGGATAAAGGGGAGTACGATGATTTCTGCAACAACGAATTGAGACCTGGGTTGCAGAAATTGATGATGGAGGAATCTGAACGAGATGCTTGTGGTGGCGGCATGGGCTCTACTGCGGGTTCAACAATTGATTCCCCTCCCAGGTTGTCTACTGATTCATTGCAATCATTTCCTTCTACATATGTACCTTCCGATACAGAATAAAACATAGCAAGGAGGAGGGTACTGGGTAAGCTTGTTCAAAAGCAGCTGCCTTTTTTGTATGATAATTCTTTGGTTCTTAATCTTTTCTTCTTGTGGGTTTCCTTTATTCTTGTTCATTTTTGTTTTACTTGTGCTCTGATTTGTAAATTCTGTTCCAAGTACGGAGAAACACAGAACTTAGATAGGATCAAAGAGAATGGAATACACAGAGTCTTCTTGTTTTTGTCTTACTGCAATTGAGAGTTTTCTGCAATGTGCGTTACTTGCAAAGTACAAATCAACTTGTTTAAGGCAATAGATATGGCTTGAATGTACCATCCATATGGTTAATTCCCGTGTCAGTTTATATGAGAAGGTAGGTGTGACAAACCCTGTTTGATAAAGTTTGGTGCTTGGCCACGTTGAGCAAAGATAGTCTGTCTGTCTGTCTGTCTGTTTTTTGTGGGGCACCAAAAGAAGCTAAAACAGAGTGTCAGCAGTGGCAGTGGGCACTGGAAATGGCAAACACTCTCCTAATCTCCTTCCTTCCCAACTTGTTACGCCATAACGTGCTTTGGTAGGTCTCAGACTATCGCCTAATGCCATGTACCTTCACATGTACTAAAAGCTGCATTGACCATAAAATTTGTACGGCAGAATGATCCTCCCTTTAATAGCTGCAGAAGTGTTGTTTCTTTGCTTATTTGAGATAAGGAAGGTGTAGTAAAACACAAGAAGAATCGTTCGTACTACCCCGGATCGAGAGATCATTAGTTATTGTTGTCGAGACGGTGTGTAATCCCGACGACCATCGATCTTATCCTCTGCTATCCCCTCTCGTTGGTGTGTTTTGTTAGGGGGAAACATGTTTGTTTCTCTCATTTTGCTTGCTGGGTCTAAGGAGGGGGGATGATTTCATCAGTTTTCTTTTCATAGCCGGATGACGAAAATGGCGAGTCGTGTCGTTTTGGTTCCAACAAACGTTGCGTACAGGAGATGTCTCGAGAGAGGCTGGTGGCGATGATGATGAAATCATCATATCATATCGCGCTTTAGCTTTTGGAAAAGTGGAGACCTTTTTTTCAATTATGGGTGCTGATATTTCTTTTGTTGTTCCAACAACTGGACCCTCGCTTTGAGAAGCATTTGCAGCCGTTGCTTTTTCCAGGAGTGCTGATGAAAGCCAGACATGGACAGCAATTTTCCACTCAGGCTCGAGCTCTTTTTCGCTATACACTGAGCTATGATATAGTAATCTAATAATAGTGCAATTTGCTTGGTTGTTAGTAGTAGCTAATTCCTCCAAAGTTCGTGGCGTCCTCTCTCTCTTCTCTGTAGTTTTGTTCAATGGTTTTCTGATTGCGCGTCTTGAGGATCCGGTGGCACGTTCCGTTTGGAAATACCTGGAACCTGTCACACCTTTCCTTTTCTATGGAAACCGAATCCTGTATTATATTATCTGTTATTAAATCTAATGAACCCTTCACCCTTGTCATCTTCTAAACAAACACATTTTCTAAGTTGGCTACAAACAAAACAAGATAAAGGTTGAGAATCAATTGGATTGTGAGGGAATTGTTATTATGTGACAACTAACCCCAAGTCTAGGTAAACTGTAGGATTCACACATGACAGATGGGATTAGGTACATGAAGAACACCTATGGTTCTTTTTATAAGATGATTTGTGGTTGGCTGCTATTAAAATGGTCACTTGCCTAGTTGCCTTCAAACTTTGATACATTTTCTACTTTACGTTTTGCATTAATAGTTCAAATGAACATTCTTTTAATTTCCGCGTATTCTGACTGCCTGAATCCAACTCCCTATTCCTAACTCTTCAATTGGATCCCGACCACCCCAACATAACATTATTTGAAACCAAGAATTCAATTTTTTCCAAATAAAACTTTATACATTTGTTTTACACTACATCTCAATTAGTAAGATGCAATTCTCTCTTATCTCCTCCGCTTGTTTGTGCTATGGCAAATTTTATTTACCAATCGAGCGTTCCGCATTTGATTGTCTCATTAGTACTCAAGTAAGATAAGTAACCCCAGGGGCGGAGCCAGGATTCGTGAGTCGCGGGGCGGGGGGACATTTTTTTTTACGTATTATCACAAGAATTAAAAAAAAATGTAATAACATAAAAGGATGAAAAGACATAAAAATATGGTCTAAACTAAAATTTATAGTACAATATGTTTAAGATAAATAATTAAACAACCAACAAAAACTAATAATTTTTTTCAACTTGTACCATGTTATTCACTATTGTTACAACTTAATGATGATCGTTACTAGAGATCCAGAAACCTTAATCTATTATAAATTTTGAGCAGTTATTAGAATTTGTTAAACTAAAAAGTGTAGAAAAAAGCAAACTAGCTTCCACGGAAATCGAACACTAGTACATGAGATAAAATAGTAGTAACTAGTCCGCTGGACTACAAGCAATTTTATTGTAATTATTGCACGCTATTATATTTATCTAATGCCTTTAAATTGCCCCTGGCCCTGATGGATTCTCAGTGGGGTTCTATAAAAAGGCGTGGTCTATTATTGGCACTGATGTCTTGGCGGGTGTGAAGGATTTCTTTTCTTCAGGTCGTTTACCAGGAAGTGTCAATGCCACTGCTGTCTCTCTACTGCCCAAGGTACCTTCTGCTTGTGCTCTTAAAGACTATAGGCCAATCTCCTGCATTAATATTTTGTACAAAATTATTGCTAAGGTGTTGGCTAATCGTCTTAAAACAGTGCTCCCTAAGGTCATTAGTGGAAACCAATCAGCTTTTATAACTGGCCGAAGAATAGTGGATAATATATTAATGGCCCAAGAACTAGTTAGTGGTTATCATAGAATGCACCTTTCCTCACGTTGTGCTATCAAAGTAGACCTGATGAAAGCCTTCGATTCAGTCAATTGGGCTTATTTGTTTTTAATGATGGAGATAATGGGGTTTCCTACATGCTTTATAAACTGGATTAAGTCGACTGTACGAACTGCTAAGTTTAGTATTTGTGTCAACGGAGGGCTCTGTGGATATTTTGGGGCTCAGAAGGGTGTTAGGCAGGGTGATCCACTTTCACCCTACCTATTCACCATAGCCATGGAGGGACTTTCCTTGTTATTAAATGAATCTGCAGCCCTAGGGCATCTTCCATACCACCCACAATGTAAAAAAGTGAAGCTAACTCATCTGAGTTTTGCTGATGATCTTTTGATCTTTATTGAAGGATCTGGAACAGCTATTTCTAGAGTGCAAGAGGTTCTTTCTGAGTTCTATACCATGGCTGGCTTGAAATGCAACCCTGCAAAATGTGAAATCTATTTTGGTGGATTGTCGGTGCTGTTTAAGAGTAGGGCTCTTCTAGTGACTGGTTTTGAGGAGGGGATACTCCCAGTGCGTTACTTGGGGCTTCCTCTGATATCTGGGAAGTTGTCTGCTGCTGATTGTGAAAAATTAGTAGCAAAAATCACTCAGAAAATTAAGTCATGGAGAGCTCAAAGACTTAGTTATGCTGGTAGGCTCCAATTAGTCAGTTCTGTTCTAATGGGGGTACTGCAGTATTGGATGCAAGTTTTCTTGCTCCCTAAGAAGGTCTTGAAACAAGTACAGCAAATCTGTTCCAATTTCTTATGGCATGGAACTGATGAAGGAAAGGAGAAAATAGGGTGGGATAGAATGGCAAGACCTAAAAAGGAAGGAGGTTTAGGGCTGCAAGAACTTTGCTCCTGGAATCAAGCTTGCACAGCTCGCATGCTTTGGTTAATTCTGATGCAGAGTGGGACAATATGGGTGGCCTGGATCAGCACATATAGGATTAAACAAGGTAGCATTTCGACATTGAAGTCTGGTTCTAGTGGTTCTTGGGCTTGGCGCAGGATATTGAAGACAAGGCAGATTCTGCAGCAACACTTCTCTGTGCAGCGAGGGGTGGTCTTTTGGGATCACACTCCCATGCCCAGATTTCGATTAGGTGTAGTTTGGGAGGGGATTAGGCCTAAGTGGCCTGCTGTGGAATGGCATAACCTGGTATGGGGGCATGGTTTTGTTCCCAGGAACAGTTTTCTTACTTGGTTGATTCTACTTGATGGCATTGTTACCACTGATAAATTGGTGAAATGGGGGAAGGATGTGGATGTTGTTTGTGTGTTATGCAGGAAAGGGCAGGAGACTCGTGAACACCTGTTCTTCCAATGTATGTATTCAAGGGAGGTGGTACAGGGTATCTGTTCTTTGCCCATATGTTGTGCTTCCTGGTCGGCTACTGTGGCTGCTGCTTGCTCCTTCTGCAAGAGGAAACATGGCGCTACTGCAGGGCTTATTTGGTGCTTCCTGGTGGCCTCAATTTGGAAGGAACGTTGCCGAAGAAAGTATGCTGGAACCTCGCTTTCACCTGCGGACTTGCAGGCTCTGATCAAGCAGGACCTGTTAACCATTGGAGAAGCAAGATGTATTTTGGAGGAAATGGAGGGGCTGGGGGTTTTGTGATGTAGTTAATGTGTGTTTGCAAGTTGATGTTGTCGTGTCTTTGTAGTAGTTGGTTGGGTGGCTTTTTAGCGTTTCTTGGGGTGTCGCTGTGATACCCTTTCCTTGTATCTGGTTTCTCCTAGCATCTTGCTAGTTCTTTTAATAAGAAGAGGGTACCTGATTCAACGAAAAAAAAAATAATGCCTTTAAATTATTTATAAATACCAAAATTCTCGACAATATATATGCGATCTTCAAAATTCTGGGGGGGGGGGGGGGGGGCGGCGGCGAGGCCCCTGAGCACCAATATAGCTCCGCCCCTGAGTAACCCACTTGATAAGCTTTTGAAACATGTCGTCTTTTGCTCTGGGTAGCTATTGAAGATATGGAAAATTACTCGGGGAACTTCTTTCTACTATTTTTTGACAAAAGATAATCATATATATATTAATTAGAAGAATAGACAGTTACATTCTGGAATTAAGTCATACACGAAAATCAGTCAAGTGACTCGTAGTCGGGTACAAAGAAAGGGTCTTCCTAG